CTTTTCAATATGTGTGTGCGTGTGTGTGTGTGTGTGTATGTATGTAATGCATACGAAATCAATGCCATTAAATTTTTTTTCAGTTTTACAATCTTTTCTTTTTCAGATTTCCGGAATCATCATCATCATTATTATTATAATTCATAGTGAAGAATTTTTTTTTTTGTGTTTTCACTTTCACCAATATCAATGATGCAAACAAACAAATAAGATGAAAAAACAAACAAACAAACAAACAAGCAAGAATGTTACTATTTTTTGTTTCAACAAATCATCGAATGCAATATTTATTTTTCCTTCAAATTCCGATTCTATGTCTTATTGTTTTTTTTTATTATTACAATGAATTCTGTATGCCATTCATTCATTCATTCAGTTCAGTTCAGTTCAGTTCACTTATTCTATTTATTCATTGAGAATAATAATCTTATTACATTTGATCATCATCATTATTAATATTGTTGTCGTTGTCGTTATTGCCGCTGTAAACATTGATGGTTCATGGTTTTGTTTTGTTTTTGTTTTTGTTTTTTCGTTTCGTACATATCGTATTCGACCAGAAAAATATTAAAAAAAATCAGAATACAAAACAATAGAATGGCCAGATGTAAATTTTTTTTTCGTCTGTGTTTTTTTTTTTTTTTTTTTGCTAGTGATATATTCATATATTAAGAGAACGAAGAAATTTTTGTCAGAGAAAAAAAAATTGATTAATTTTCTTGTTGAGATTTTTTTTTTTTGGTAATAAAATTCTTTAAAATTATTCCAAAGCGAATGGTAAGTGAAATGAGAAATAAAGAAATTTTTTTCTCCCGAGATTCGACAATCATCCAAATGAAATTCAGTTTGATTTCTTGGAAATTTTTCTTTTTCATTTATTTATTTGATAAATTGTTTGGAAATGAGAAATTTGAAACCTTTCCTGTTGTGTTTGAATAGTGAACTTTTTTTTCTATTCTTTCCATTTGGTTTGAAATAAATTCTCTGTTTCTGTTTCTTTTCTTTTTTTTGCATCATCGATTACGAATTTTGAAAATTGAAAAAAAAATAAATTTATTTGCATCAAAACACACGCACACACACACACACACACACACAAATCCTTTGGTAGGAAGGAAAAAAAGAAAAGTTTCTGACATTTAGCGAATGCTAGAAAAAAAAAGTAAATCCTTTTCGGAAATCAATCAAACACAGAGAAAAAAAATTTTTTTTTTTTTTGTTGTTTACAAAAAAAAAAAAATCTGATCGATAAAAAAGTGTAGAAATAGTTGATCATGCAAATTAACATTGGACGTCTAGGATTAATGATTGAAAGGAACCATATAAATTTTCTTATTCTGTATGTAAAAAAAAAAAAAAACAGAATTCCCAAATGTTAATCATCATCTATGGAGAAATTCATATCATTATTGTATATATGGATTGGTAATATAAGTCAATCATCGATTCACAGTTTATTCATTTTTTTTTCGATGGACATACCATAGGAGGTCTTATTTTATTTGGAAACAAAAAAATGAAATGAAATGATTTTCTCAATATTCAATGCAGCTGTTGATGATGATGATGATGATGATGAATATTAAAAGAATAAATATGAATTCTGTGGATGAATGAATGAATGAATGAAAAAAAACGATTTACGTGACCATTCAATTTATTTATTTTTTGTTTTGTTTTGTTATCTTATTTTCATTTTTTTTTTTCCACACGCAACATTGGCAACATTGAATTGCAGAGAGAAAAAGTTTCAACTTACTAATAATACGCTATATTCAGAAAACGGTAAACTAAAAAAATTATGTCATTAAAAACAGCAACAAGAATACGTCAATCATTTGGATTGATAAAAAGTGGCTGACTGGCTGGCTGGAAAGTGGGAAAAAACAGTATTCAACATCAAATCAATCCTATTTATTCATTGATTCATCAATCAATTAGATTGTTTCAAAAAGAAAACAAACAGAAAAAAAATCAACACATTTTTTTTACTCTAAACCACACGACCCTGCGATATGAATATATAGATTGATGATGATCATCATTATCATAAAAAATTATGCCGTTGTCGTTGCTGTTTGTTTGTTTCATTTGAATACAATTCATATTGATTGTTTTATTATTGATTTCAATAATTTTGTTTTCCATTAATGATGATTTGAACCTCAAAGAAAAAAAAATGAGAAAATAAATAAAAAAGACATATTGTTACATCAATGTGGCCATAAATTGATCAAAAGTTGATTGTTCGATTGATTGATTGATTGATTGATTGAGAGTAAAAAAAAAAAGTGTAGAGTACAAGAAAAAAAATGGCCAAATAGGAAAAATTCTTATTTTATGCCCATATGAAATGAAAATCAACGAACGAAAAAAAAATGATGTAATCAATCAATCAATCATTCAATCTCAAAATCAAAGCATAAAAGAATGAAAAAAAAACTTGCCATAAACATCGAGAGAAACAAAAATGTATAAACTATATATATTTACATGACGACGACTATGGTGATGATGATGAAACATATCATCCTGTTGGTTCTCTTGAGTTGATTTTCTTGTGTTTTAGTAGTTTGGTAGTTGATATTATTTTTTTTCTCATTTCTTCACAATATATATGTGTGTGTGTATGTATTTCATCTCATCAAAATCATGTGACGTAAATTGGGTTTTTACTGATGATGATGATGATGGTGATGATGAAAAAAAAGGAAAAATTTGTCAAAAACATTATCACCACACACACACACACACACAAACATATATCACATACACAGACACAGACACAATCATCATCATTGTGAAATTCAGAGAAAAAAAAAACATACACTACATTTTTATAGATAAAATGATAAGATTTTTCCGTTTCTTTTTTTTTCGTAAATTTTTCCATTTTGACAACATTTCAGTTTTGTTACAGATTCTTTTGGCAATAATTATCGTTGTTGATTTCTTTGTTTTTGATGATTCTATTAGATGTTTGAATGATGAATGAATGAATGAAGAAATTTTATTTCGATAAAATGAAAATTATTCGATTCAATTTCAATCGATAATAATCGATTGTAACGCGAACAACAACAACAACAAAAAAAAGTTTATTGATAAATAAACGCAAAAACATACACATACACACACACACACAAGCAAAAGCCAAAAAAATTGATCGATTAATCGATACGATGACTCAAAATGATTTCAACTTTAATTTAGCAATAACCAAATATAATAATTATATAGTCTAAATGAATCAAATGAATTTGATCAATCAACAAATCAAATTAATTTTTTTTTATCGATAGAATAAATGGAAAAAAAGGAATGAAAAAGAGAGAAAAAAAATTGTTCATTATAATCATACCAACTATATATCGTTGACAATGACGATAATATTTTCTTGTTTTTGTTTTTTGGTGAAGAAATAAATATCATCATCATTAAAATTAGACTAGAAATTAATCATCAATCAAATTAATTATAATGAGCTTGATTGATCGTGTTGATGACGACGATCTATTATCAACATGAGAACGTTACAATTGAATGGCTATGTGTGATGGTGATGGAAATTTGAAAATTTTTTTTCAAAGAGAAAAAAAATTCCAATCAAAATTCTGTTCATCAACTAGTTTTTTTTCAGCTGTTATTCCAAAAAAATATAATTATCCAATTTTAATTAGCGACAATTTTTTTTTTTTTTTTTTTTTTTTTTTTTTTTTCTTGCGTTGTGATGATGAACTTTTGAACATTACAGAAAAAAAAAATTAATTTGAACCAGTTCTAACCGCCTGGTTAGTTTGAAAAACAGAGAAAAAAAATGATTCGATTTTTTTTCTCTATGTGTAAATCCATATACACGTAGACATCAATGTTAATGATGATAATGATGATAATGGTGATAATGATGATGACATTAGATTTGTTTTTTTTGTGTGTGTGATGTGATGTGCGTGCACATAGTTGTCATGTTGTACATACCCTACCACACATTTTTATCGTTTTTTTTTCTCGTTGAGTTTTTTCCATTTATCAACATCCACTTTACATATTTAGTGAATGTACAATTGATTGATTTTTTTTTTTTTTTTCTTCTTCTTCTCGTGAAAATGGGAAAAAAATACAAACAAAGACATTTTTTTGTTTTGTTTGTTGTTGTTGTTGTTGTTGTCGTTGTTTTGTTTAATATCTTGTGATGATTTAAAAACGATAACAACAACAACAGCAACAACAACAACAACAACAAAATTGCCAAATACAGAAGAAAGCTCTGATTTTTCAAATTTTACTTTGTTTCAGTGCATTTTTTTTTGTTTTGGTTTTCCAAAAAAATGCAAAATTCCATTGAGCAAGTTGATGAAAACCAGATCAATAGAAAGATTTTCTGCTTCTTCTTCAAACAAATGAAAAAGATAAATTATTTCATTTCAATTGCACATAATAATGAAGATATGAAATCATCACTATCATTTTTTTTTTTGATGATAACAATTATTTGATTATTTGATTATTTGATTGATATAATCATCGATGACGCCAACACCATCAACATATAATGAATGTCTTGATTGATTCATCAAAATTGACACATTCTCTGATTATCTTCATGAAGATTATTATTCACAATTGGTATTTAATTGAAACAGGCAGAAAAAAAGGCGTGTAATGAATGAATGAGATTTTATTTTTCGACGATGATGAATATATATCTTGTACTATTTTTTTTTATTGTTAATAAATGACATTCATTTTGTCTGATGTTTGATGTTTGTGAAATAATTGTCATTCAGATCATCACTATTGATCACGACACAACACTTTTGAATCATCACCAAGAACTTGATTTTGACTTTGATTTTTTTTCTGTTTCTATAGCCATCGAAGTTCATGAAATTTGTGCTTGTTTTTTTTCGATTAAATGTGAGTTGGAGTGAATTTTTCTTTTTTTGTTCTCATATATAAAAATTCAGTTTTTCCAGAAAAATTTCCATCTTTTTAATCCGTTTTTATATATTTCCAAGAACTTTTTTTTCTTGATTTTCTTGATCGAGAAAAAAAAATGTTTTCAAATCTACTATACTATGACGCTAAGGATGTGTGTAAACTGCGGCGAAGCTGAGCCGGCCATTCTTGCTTATTTTCAGTACAAACATAACTATTTAGTATGAGCTACTCAGTGTGTGTTGTGTGTGTGTGTGTCTGAGCATGCGGGAAAACTTTTGAATGCCGCTGAAACAGTTCGTCCAGCTCAGAAGTAGAAGTCGCTTCCAAAGAAACGCATTCTGTGGTATGTAGCTTTGACAAAGCTTTTTTTCATTGTTCTAGCTCAGCACACGTTGCTGCAGCTTTTGCATCCAATAGATGGTACAGTCATTCAATAGAACATAGAAAGAGTTCGAATTCGAATTGATTATTGTGATAATACATGTGACAAACGTGATTTTCATTTTGTGTGCCTGTGTGAGTAAAACTGAAGCTGAGCTGTATGGCTTCTTTTCTTATCGATATCGATGAACAATAATAAGTATGCTGTTTGATCAATAAGTTGATGTTGGATTTACGTAACATTTTCAAAGGTGTCAGGTACAATACAAAAGTCATGGCTGACCCTGCGGTACCAAACCGAAAGCCGGAAGCAAAACGCCGTGCATAGAAATCCACCGTCTGGCACGAAGCGTTAAAATTGACACCTTTGGCTGGATGCCAAGCAGGGGGGCGGCGCAGCCGACCTCCAGTTATATTGACCGTCAAGGATTTATATCTTTGACTGGATACCAAGCAGGGGGGCGGCGCAGCCGCCACCCCTGCGGGTATCCAGCTCTATTGACCTCAAGAAATCATACCTTTGGCTGGGTACCAAGCAGGGGGGGCGGCGCAGCCACCACACCTGCGGGTATCCAGCTATATTGATTGTCAGGAGTCAGCCCCGCAGGGCCAGTCTGGGGCAGGCGCGAAGCGCCTGTACCGGGCTGGTAATAATTATATGTCGCTTAAATTTCCACTGTAAACTGCAATTTTTACACTCTGCAAGTATAAAAAACTGTATTAACTTGGCATTTGATGCGGGGAAGCCGAGCTGGACATTCCTAATTATTTTCAGTACAAACATAACTATTTAGTATGAGCTACTCAGTGTGTGTTGTGTGTGTGTGTCTGAGCATGCGGAAAAACTTTTGAATGCCGCTGAACAGTTCGCCCAGCTCAGAAGTAGAAGTCGCTTCCAAAGAAACGCATTCTGTGGTATGTAGCTTCGACAAAGCTTTTTTTCATTGTTCTAGCTCAGCACACGTTGCTGCAGCTTTTGCATCCAATAGATGGTGCAGTCATTCAATAGAACATAGAAAGAGTTCGAATTTTTCGAATTGATTATTGTGATAATACATGTGTCACACGTGATTTTCATTTTGTGTGCCTGTGTGAGTGTGTATTTGATGAAATCTTGCCTGAAGACTGCATTTATTGGAATGATTTGTTCTGTGTTTTTGTTTTCATGATTTATTATCTACTCATCGCTTGGTAAGTTATTCCGGTTATTTAACCTGATTATACATAAAATACCTGATAGCTTTTTTTCATTTAAAATAAAGAAAATGGAGCATTTACGATATTGCAGAAAGCCACAGCGGTCGACGATTCAATGTTGAGTGTCTTCATGCGATGAACCCACAAGGTTATCCTATAGGATCTATAGACACAAACTTGGATTAAACATTGGATCGATTATCATGTTCAGTCGCAATATTGAACCACAAAGTGGTTTGCTCAATGGCACGCGTTTATTTGTAAATAGACGCAGCATTGAAGCTCGAATATTGACAAGGAGGCTATGATTCATTTTGCAGCAAAACGATCGAGATCTTAAGCTACCATTTAAATTGGTTCGTGGACGATTTCCTGTCGTATTGGCTTTTGCTCTGACAATTAATTAATGTTTTAAGGGAAATCTTTCGATAAAATAAGTGTGTACCTTCCTACACCAGTATTGCAACATGGAATGATTTATGTGGCTTTTTGCCGCTGCAAAAATCCTAATAATCTGAAGATTTTTGTTCATGAAATTGAGGAAAATATCAACAATGACCACAGTATCTATACCAAAAATATCGTATTTCTTCAACTTTTTGATTAGCAATAATAATTATGCTGTTCGGTGTACGCAACTTTTTCAACGGTATCAGGTGCAATGCACAAGTGATGGCTGACCCTGCGGTACCAAACCGAAGGCCGGAAGCAACACGCCGTGCATAGAAACCCACCGTCAGGCACGAAGCGTTAAAATTGACACCTTTGGCTGGGTACCAAGCAGGGGGGGCGGCGCAGCCGCCACACCTGCGGGTATCCAGCTATATTGACCGTCAAGGATTGATACCTTTGACTGGATACCAAGCAGGGGGGGCGGCGCAGCCGCCACACCTGCGGGTATCCAGCTATATTGACCGTCAAGGATTGATACCTTTGACTGGATACCAAGCAGGGGGGCGGCGCAGCCGCCACACCTGCGGGTATCCAGCTATATTGACTGTCAGGAGTCAGCCCCGCGGGCCAGCCTGGGGCAGGCGCGAAGCGCCTGTACCGGGCTGGTAATAATTATTATGGCAAAAATATTGCCAAATCTGGCCAATCTGATGATTTGAATTTTTGGACGTTTTCAGTAGAACAACTATTTAGAAAATCATCATCATCATCATCATTATTATTGTCATCAAAATCATCAATAACTTCGATGTCATCATCATTTTCTTCACTATCACCATCATCATTATTCAAAATGGCCACAATCAATATAATATTGGCGATTTTATTCATCAATTTAATGGTAATACAAATAACAATTGCACAATCAACAGCCGTAAATAGTGCTACTACTGCTACTAGTACTACTGGTATCAGTAGTACAGATTTATTGATACGTGATATTCTATTAAATCAATCATCAACATATTATAATGATGAATTAATATTGGAACAAATGTTAGCCGCAGCCAATATGTCACAGCCACCGCCGGAAACATGGCGTGCAATTGTTAACCTGTTGACAAGAGGAGTGAATGTAACACATTTACAATACCATCTATTGAATAATAATCGAAATAATCAAAATGATTCACATGATGATCAATCAATAAAATCGAATGAAAAGAAAACTATTTCATTATTGACATTAAAACATGATGATGCCGGTGGCATGAATAATGGCCATCATTCAATTCAACAACAACAACAACAACAACAAGATGGTGATGATGATCAAAATTTAACCATAAAAAAATCAACAAAATCACATATTGAATCAGCTATCGATGAATTTCCATCAGATTTCATGTCTGATGAATTTCGAAATAAAGGTGGATTTATTGTTCATATCGCTATTTTTGTTTATCTATCATTAGCATTGGCTGTTATTTGTGATGATTATTTTCTTAAATCATTGGAATATATTAGTGAAGGTGAGTTTGGTGTTTGTTTTTTGTTGTTGTTGCCAATTTTTTTTTCATTTTTTTTTCATTCATTTACATTACATAGCACTTCATTTGCCATCAGATATTGCTGGTGCAACATTTATGGCAATTGGAACATCAGCGCCGGAATTATTTACATCCGTAATTGGTGTGTTTATTTCTGAAAATGATATCGGTACCGGTACAATTGTCGGTTCAGCTGTTTTCAATTTGATCGCTATACCTGGTGCTTGTGGATTTGCTGCATATTATAATCTGAAAAATATGCCAAAAATCAATCCATTTCCGATCATACGTGATACAATATTCTATGTGTTGACAATAATTACATTGATACTTTGCATAAAAGATAATCGCGTTGATTGGATTGAATCGATAACATTGATTGCATTATATATTGTTTACATTATTATCATGTATTTTAATGCACAAATATCACATGTTGTTGGTAAATCCGAAAAATTTCGTCGTCATTCATCATCATCATCGTCATCAGATCCATATTTGAATGGTGATGTTGATGAAAAATCGTCTAGACAACAAAGACGCAAAACAATTGATTTGGGTGTCAATGCCACAAACGAATCACAACCATTATTGTTGACCGATGATAGTGTTAAACGTTTATCACCACCGCCAGCATATCAATCAGGTGGTTCAACATATGTTTCACAACAACAGCAAATAAATCCATCAACAGCAACTAATGAACAATTGGATTTATCGAAAATTCATCTAACACTGTCTGAGAATGGAAAATTTAAAGAAGTTAAATCAGGTTTGTTGTATTTTTTCTAAAAAAAATTTCTTTTGATTGAGTGAATTTTTTTTTGTTTTGACAAGGTGGAAATCGACGAATGTCACAATCGATCACAACTAATCGTAAACAATCATCAGAAATTATCGATCTGGAACAACAATCAATTGATGGCAGTGGTGATGATGATGAAACAGATGCCGATTGGTCTGGACATCCATTTATTCAATTTTTATTGTTTCCATTTAAAATTATATTTTTCATCACATTACCGAAGCCAACTCGTTTCTGTTTTGTTATCACGTTTGTTTCATCAATCATGTGGATTGCATGTCTTACCTATTTTATCGTATGGATGGTTACATTAGTTGGTTCGTTTGTGTTAAAATTCATTTTACTGAATCATATATCATATATATCATCATTCTTTTTATCAATAGGCTATACATTGGGAATACCGGATACTGTGTCTGGTATAACCGTATTGGCAGCTGGTACAAGTATACCGGAATTAATTTCTAGCTATTTGATTGTCAAAAAAGCTGGATTAGCTGATATGGCCATTTGTAATTCGATTGGATCGAATATTTTTGACATATTATTCTGTTTAGGATTACCATGGCTATTGAAATCATCTATTGTTATCGTTACTAATGGTTTTGGTCTTGCCACATTGGCCAGTAGTTATATACCAATACAATCGACAGCATTACCGATAACATCACTGACATTATTATTGACAATCGGTGCAATGATAATGATATTTCGTCTATCTAGATGGCGATTAAATCTAAAGCTTGGAATACTTTGTACATTGGTTTATATTGTTTTTGTTGTTACATCAACATCGTTGGAATTCAATGTTTAATATAATGGCAAAACCAATGAAATAATCCAAGAATGGAACATACATATAATTTTTTTATGATTCATATTGATACACAAAACACGATATTCTGGATATTTTTTATTCTAGTAGGATTTATTATAATTGTCATTGTTCTTTTTTTTTCACGAAAAATTCAAATTTATTTCATTAATAATAATTTTCTTTTTTTCGAAATTGTCAAATTTTTTTTTCACCTCAAATTATCATCATTTCCAAATCTGATTTTGAATAATTCTGATTGGTAATTTTCAAATTGGTGTGTGTGTGTGTGTATGGGTGTGTCGATGTGAAAGTCTAAATGCCACTAGTTTTTTTTCGACTGAAATATTTTGGGTGTGTAGGTGTATGTTTGCTTGTTTCATGATCCAGATTTATGTATGTATGCATGTGTAATGTTTAAGTAATCGCAGTAGGTGTTTTCAATAATTTTTTTTAATTTTCGTCAAAATAAATCAATCATAAATGGATAAGAATGTGAAGATTCGACTGCTTTGATTTTAGACACCTGATATTCCATTAATTGGCACTGGTCGTACCATTTGATCATTTTGTTGCTGTTGTTGTTGCAATAATGATTGTGTGTCCGGAAAATTTGCTGGTGTTGTTGTTTGTCCACCGTTAACCCAATTTAGACCGCCTTTTTCAATGGTTACTTTCCATGATTCCGGTGATGGTGATTTAATACCACTTATCTGTTCAGGTGATTTTATCTGTGTTGTATGTAATGGTACTTGCTTCGGTTGTGGATCAAATTCACGTTGCTGCTGTTGTTGTTGTTGTTGTGGTTCAGTTGCTGTGGTTGCGACCGCTGAACCAGTATTAGCTGGTTTTGTTTTAATCGATGTTGATTCAGCAGCTGATTCATTTGTTTGCTGTTGCGGTTTTTTTACCGGTTTTATCCAGATTTTTTTCGATCCATCCACTGCTGTCGATGATGATGTTTGTTGATTAGTTGCTGTCGTTGTTGATGATGATGGTGGTGGTGGTGGTTTTTTCACTGAAATAATTTTACTTGAAACAACCTTTGAATTGTTGTTATTGTTAATTCGATCAACATTTGTTTGTTTGGTAGTTGAACTCGCTGCTGTTGTATTGGGTTTTGTCACTAATTTTCGTGTTACTGGTCTTGGTTCTAATTATTGAACGAGAAAAAGAAAATTAGATCAAAAATAGTCAAATTTTTTTTGTTGGATGAAAAAAAAAATCATACTTGAACTGGAAATAGAACGATCATCCTGTAGACTAGGTGGTGCTGAATTCATCATCATCATCGTCGATTGACGTAAATGTGGTTTAGCTGATGCACTACGTGATGTATTCTGTGATGAATTACGTTCGGAACGTTTCTGTTCAATTACAAGTCTTGTAGCTAATGCTAATGCTGCAAGATCATTACGATCTTTAACCTGTACACCATTCCATGAATATTCTGGATTAACTGGTTGGGCACCTGATTATTGAATGGAAAAAAATTGATTAAATGATTTTGTCGTATAATTAATTGACAATATTTACCATTTCGTGATCGAGCACGATATTTGCATGCTTGACGTGAACGTTCAGTTACCTCACTAAACCATGATTGTGCCATTTGTTGAGCTTTCAAGCTAAGACGATCACCTTTTTTAAAACCATCACCTTCAACATAAACATATTCATTAAAATCCTTGAATTTTGCATGATATTCCGATTTCGTTGGATCATCGCATGTTGGTGATTGTGGTTGAGATCTAGTACTAATAATTGCCGATTGTTGTTGTTGGTGTTGTTGACTATTTTGACTGCTTATTGTTGCTGTTGTCGTTGTAGATGATGATTTCTTCAATATTTCTGGTTCAACAATTGCCATATTAAGTACTGCATTACCTGGAACAGCAACATCTCGAAACGATAATGCGAATGATGTTTGTGGTCTGATATGATCACCACTAGCTGAATAAATAACATCATCATGTTTATTATTATTATTATAGCTATTTGTTAGACTATTTGGCTGTGAATATGATGTTGGATGCTGTTGGCCAAACGATAATTGATATTGACTCATCATTGGTTCTTGTTGCAATGGTTTTGTTTCAATCATTGGTAATTTCCATCGAAATTGATGACTATATTCAGTTTGACGATTTACATAGGAATTATTATTTTCCATGTTATTAAGATTTTTATCCGGTTGATTCACAATGATCGGATCCAAGTCTTTTAGAAGAATGAGAGCAAGAAACGTTTAGAAGTTGAATTCAAATTTTATTCAATAGTATTCAAATAATAATAAAGCTTTTTAAAAATGATCATAACTAGTAAACACACACTCAATATTTATACAATATTTTCACTATTGATCATACTAATTAAATATGGTCAATAGTAACATTTAATTGATTAATTAATCTATCTAATATCTAATAATTAATCAATTAAATCAATCATTTCAACAATTCAACAAAATCTTTACTCGTATTATTATTAGTGTTATTGTTGTCAAATTCTTTGTCGATAATGTTAACGTTTTTTGGAACGAAAATTGAAAAATATCAGCAATGAGTCATCTAAAATGGAAAAAAAGGGATGGACACACAATATACAGCATCAAACAACGCAAATTTATTGTCATCATCATCATCATCATCATCATCATGATCATCAGAGAAACAAAATCTAACCAGAATATTCTAAAAAACCAATATAAAAAAAGTTCTAGCAGCTACAGCAATAGCAGTAGTGGTACATGGAAAACAGAAAAAGTATTGTTCCATGACATAACTAATCAATCCATTGTAGGCGATATAGAACACCAACACCAACACACACACACACACACACATGCACACGATTCTAGGAATCTAGATCTAAAACTGCACTTGCATCACAATTGGAACCTATTCTGGTATACTAAAAGTGGTTCCAAAATGTACAGCACATAATGTACAATTTTAGCCATTTAAAAAAATTTCGAGTTTGCGCGTTGTTGGTTAGTTATTTTTTTTTTCATTTTGCACAAAATATCAATGTCATCATCGTTGTTATAACTTTATGTGCGTGTGTGTGTGTTATTATTAGTTACACCTAAAAAAAATTTTAAATTTTTTTTTTATAAATTTATTACCATGGAACTGCCATATGCACTTGAAGAAAAAAATTGATCTTTTTCATTTTGATTCTTTGAAATTTTCCAAAGAAAAAAATCTCTTTTGTATTGTCAACAAAAAATAATAATTAGACCATGACGAATGTTTTTGCCTTTTGATTCGAATCAATGAGATCATTTTTAAAGCTTTTTTCGAGTTCTAAAAAAAACAAACACACACACACCCACACACAAAAAAAAATCTTACTTGTATTTGGTTGTTCATCAATAATTTGTATTGATTTTGTATTATTATCGTTCCACGATTCGTTTACAATCGATAACGGTGTATGATTGATAGTAGAATTATCATCAAATCTTGAATAACGATGATTATTACTTGAAATTGTTTTCAATTGATCATCGATTGGTGTTGATGAAACTAGATTCAATGTATGAAAACTATCGGCCAGATGGCGTGATATTGAAAATTTTTTTGACCACAATGATGATTCGTTATTGTTTGTTGATTGTTGCTGCTGCTGTCGATTTGTATCGCTGGTGGTGGTCGTCGTTGTTTTATTATTCTCATCAACAGTCGAAATACCAAATATTGACTAAAACAAAAAAAAAAATTATAAAGCAAAACAAATGAAAAACACACAAACAAAATAAAAAATGAAGATGTGATTTTGTTTTGTTTTTTTTGAAAAGAAAGAAAATTTTCTGCTTTTGTTTTTTATCGTTCAGCTCAAAAAAAAAAATGATGATGATGATGATGACTTTGCTCAAAATAATAATTCAGAGAGCAAGAAAGAGAGAGAGAGTCGGTAATGGTAAAGATGAAAATGGACGGATATATTTCAAAAAAAAAAAAAAAAAAAAAATCCCGATTGTCATCACAAAAAAAAAATAGTAAACTATGTACGTTTATTATCATCATCATGTTTATAAATCATCAACAATGACTGTATGAGATTGGTTTTGGCTCTTTTTTTCCATCATCATCATCATCATCATCATTATTTGGTGTATTTCTTTTTTTTCACAATAATAAAAAATCAATGTGGATGGATGGATAGCTTGTCTAGCCTCTCTCTGTATATGTGTGTGTGTGTGTGTGTGTGTGTAGATTTTACCTGTGTTGTGTGTTGTCATTTTCATTGTTATCCATTCATTATCCATTGTCAGTAATATGTTTTTTTGATTTTATAATAATAAAAAAAATCGTCCTTCATAAACAACTGAATGTAGTGTGTATTTGTCGACTGTTTTTTTTTCATCAGCAAGTCTCTCTCTCTCTCTCTCTATCTACTTTGCTACTATTTTGTTTGTATCATTTTCCATCATTTTAATCTTTAAACTTGATTTTTGTTTGTTTCACATCGTTGTTTCTGCTGAAATACACTCTTTTAACACACACACACACACACACACACGCACTAAGTAGAAATTGAAAATTAGATATTTATATTTGTATCAAGGAACGAGAGGAAAAATTCTTTCCATTTTTGTTTATCAAAGAATTTTGTAAATAAATAATTTTTTTGTTGTTGCTATTAACCAACAAATCTAATCTAATGACATATTTAATGACAAAAGTTGACTGTTTTCATTTTCACATCTACCTGTCAGTTTTTTTTTCATTTTGACACTTTTGACACTTTTGTCACAAAGGGATTTATGTTGATAATGACATTTACAGCGAGAAAAATGGATTCATTCCATTGTCAACACTGTAGATGATTATTATTATTATTTTTTTAAATACATACCGATGATTGTTGTACAATCGAAGCCGGACATTGTGCACGACATATATTCCACATGATGATGATGATGAGAATTATTTTTGAAACTTATTGAAAATTAAAAAACAAACACAAACCAAGAACATGGGATTGGTTCTTTCGAACACAACAACAAATGAATGAATGTATCACAAAGATTGATCCAAAATATTTTTATATTGAAATTTTTTAGAAAAAAAAACAAGGTTATCACAACAACAAATAAAAAAAATGATTAGTAGACAGACTACTGAATCCAATAATGATAGATAGATAGTGACTACTGATGTCCACTAATGTCATTCATTTGTGAATTGTTCATCATCATCATCAATGTTGACCTTGTTTTGCTTTGTTGTATTGTGGTGATTGACGTCCAACACACGCACACACACACACACATGAATGTAAGATCGGAATAAAGTAATATATAGCCCAGTGAATAGAAAAAAAAGTGCACCTGAATCAAAACGAAACAAATTCCAACAACTATGACAACGGCGATAATGATGATCGTGTAATCATTTTTCTTTGGTTCCAGCACAGAGGAATCAATCAATTAAATTTTTTTTTTCATTACCAAATTCGGAACATTTTAATAATGTGTCAGGTGAATCAATTTGAAACAAAACACACACACACACCCAAAAGATTTTTGTTTGTTTGTTTTAAAACACCTGGACAACAAAATAATAATAATGGTGGTTTTTGGTAGCCATTGCTGTTGTTATTGTTGGGTGTTTTGACTTTTTTTTTGGTTCAAATCCAGCAAAATGTTTCAGCAAAAAGTTTATTATTTCTTCTATGCCGGAACAACCAATAAAATTCGGCCTTAATCAGGTTTTAAGTAGAAGCAGCAGCAGCAGCAGCAGTGGATACAGCATAACGCATGACCCCCTTTTTCACTGAATTATTCTGAAAATCTTCTGGATTGGATATATCTCTTTCTTTCTCTATATACATGTAAATTTCCGATATTACGGTAATGATGGTGTGTGTGTGTGTGTTTGTGTATAGTGAACAACGAGAACGAAACAAAACGAAAAGACCGCACTGCGACAATAACAATCTAAATTTATTTATTCACACATGTACATTTGCAATGTGATAATAATAACGTTTCTAATATTATAACTCATTCGAAATAATAATAATCCTGATGATGATGATGATGATGATCAGGAAGAATCAGCAAAAGTTATCACTATTGGATATTGTCTATCATTGTCAATTCTTGAATACGTCAATTTGACTTTTGATGATTCACGTTTTACATTTTTTTCCATCAAATTATTGCCGTTAGATGGCGATATCAGTCTCGTTGTTGTTGAGCAAAAAAAAAAAATCAAAACGATCGACGAGAATTAAATTAAATCTTTATTAGCAAGAAAAAAAAATGGACATAGATATATAGAAATTGATTAAAGTTAATTGATTTCATCATCTGTACACGAACGAGAGGGGAACAAAAAAAAAAAAATTCAATTCACTGAAATTTGTCTGAAAATGAAATGGTAAAATAAATTATTGAGCTTTTTTCGGCTTGGTAGTATTGTGTTGTAAATTATTATTTGATTTACCAAAAAATGACGAGAATGAATGATTGTACGAAATTCGATAAAAGAAATGAAGAAAAAAAAATGAAAATTCAATTTCAGCTATTTTGAAAATAATGATCAGTGAATAGAATTTTGATGAAAATATTTGAAATGGATGCCATCAATATAATCAACAAAATCGATGACAATGAACCGGATATAAATAATGGACGAGCACCAGCAACACGACAAGCCAATGTATCAAAACGTGATGGTTGATTTTGTAACATATTTATATATTCAGCTTCCATAACTTGTCCATCAAAATAAGTGATATGATCATTGAATGGATATTCAAAACCTTGTTCACATTGACATTTATAACCACCAGGTTCAAAACGTCGGCCCAATATCGGCACACAATATGATGAAAGACGATCACATTTATGTGTATTACGAAATGCGTTTGGCATCTGATAATAATGATGATGTAAAAATTCCGATGTTGATTGTACTGGTGGATAATAAAATGGACGATGATGATGACGATTCAATCCAGCTGCTGATGATGAATGATGAGAATTTTTTGCCCAATTCAATGGATCACCAGTACCACATTGATTAATGTCCAAATCTTTTAATGGCATATCCACAATAACAAAACCTTGTAACTGTAAACGATCGCTAACTTTATCTTTATTAAAAAATGGTGCACCATAACTAATCAACCAACGATTATGGTAACCACCACAATCATAATATGGTGCTGCCCATTGTCCATTCATTAATGTGGCTGCTTTATATTGTAATGGATACTGGTCATAACGTATTGTCGAATGACCATTAGAATTATAGCGAATTTCAATTTTTGCTGTAAATTCTTCTAATGAATTTTCATCCAATGATTTATAACGATCACGCAACAAACGATATAGTTCACGTTGTCGATAATGATATGGGCTTGTTGGTTCAAATCTTTCAAGATCATCGACAAAAAATTTTCTATCATTCCGTTGTAAACGATAAGCGTACGGAGCGAATCTTGTTAGATTTGTAGAGAATTTTTCATTTTCAAATATAACACTAACTCCATACAGTTGCCGATCACCAATTAATGTGGCCAGTGTTTCAGCGATAACCTGATCTTTATTCAATGGACGATCCGGTACACGAAATTCAGCAAATGTTTGATTTGGATCAACAGTCTGTATGAATGCGGAAAGAAAATGTGCTAAACGTAGCGCCATACGTGCTTCATTCTCGAATTGAATCTCTTTACCAAAACCAACATCACCACGTAATGTAAGATCTTCACGTGAATACCGGTGACAATTATCTGGACGTATTTGTTTCATAAATTGTTGTAATGTCCATGGATCAATACGTGCTGATTTTGTTGAATTTGTTTTTACACCGGTTAATGTTTCTGTTTTATGTATCAATTGTCGTCGTTCAATAGGATCAATTGGTAATACATTCTGTGTTCTGACGGCAATATAACCAATTTTTGAACAATGAAATGATTTATCATATTCAGCTTTTGTTGCACGTTCAATACGTTCACCATTGAATGGTGTACGTATTGTTTTTGGCAAACGAAAACCAGGACGACAACGACATTGATAACCACCACGACGAAAACCATAACCATGTAATGGTTCACATTCTGTAGTACGATTCTGACAACGTGATGTATCGGCAAAATAATTCGGTGATGGATTTCCTTCACCAATTGGACATTGATTAATATCGATACGTTCAAAATCTATTTCCATAACCGATGTTGCTACATACCTACATCATATGATTATCAATTAATAAATGATTGATTTTGATAGAAAAAAAACTTACATTGGAATTTCAATATGACGCCAACCAGTATGACGTGGATAAATATCTGGTACTGGAACCGATGCACCATAAATCCATTTATTTGATCTTTTACAATCATAATATGGCCGAAACCATTTGACTGGACCAGGTGGATCCGATGGTGCTGGTGGTCCATGCCATACGAATGTTTCATTTGTATGATTATTATGTGTGATTTGTACTGTATACGTTGTTTTTGAATCATGTCTTCGTGTTGGATCTGGTAGCCATAGATTATACCATTCATTTATACGATATTGTTCATTTGTATAATTATTCGATATGGAATTATTTGGTATAGCGCCCAAATCAGTAGCATATATCGTATTCAATGTTGATGTACGTTGTACATGAAATGGATCATTAAAATCATCAACACGGAATGCACGTGGTGCAAATAATGGTAATGTTTTATTGAAAAAACCACGATATGATGGAGTGAATGCATGATTTGGTGCAAAATAAAATCCGGAAGCATTGATAAAACGATTCGAGGCAACATCTGATATTGTTGATAGATAATAATACATTAATCCAGGTTCATCATTGTCATTGGCTTTTTGTAGAATGAAACTAATTCATAAAAAACGAAATTAAATGTTTAGATACAAATTTATATTACACACAAACATACACACTACTTACCTGAGAAAAAAAGCACGTGAAAGGGCCATATTATGTATTTGTAATAAATTTGTACGATTTGGAAATATTGGATCAATACCTAGCCATTGTAGATTTGGTACATGTGTTACTGTTGAATGTGGTAAAAATAATTTATTTACATCCACTACTTTACAGCTATCTGATGATAATGAATCAATTTTTTGTCTAATTTCATCAAATGAATCTGGTTTTTGCCAATCATATTGACCAGAAACTATTGGCATATTATTTATAAATAATAATGATATTGACCATAACCATAATAAAATGGTTATGGTGATTGATGGTGATGAATTTTTGATGAATTTCGCCAATGAAAATGATGATGATGAAAGTAATTTGAAACTCTCCATCACTAATGATGGATTGATGGACATTGGTGATGATGATGATGATTTTGTTTCAAGTCTTAAAATTTCTTTTGATCGATGATATTCCCATTCATTATCCATCATTTAAAACGATTTCAGACGATGTTATCAAACAATTCTGTTGACGTGAATGAGAGAAAGAGAGATAACAGAGAAAAAAAACCAAATGAACAAATACAAATTTAGTGAGAAAACAAAAAAAAATGTCGTTGACATTCACATCAACGAAATGTAAACAAAACAAGGAAATGAAATTGAATTCAGAAAAATTATTATTACCCAGCAACTCTATTATTGATTTCTGTCGATTCATCATCAATTAACATTTGTAACGGGTAATGGTGATGATATATAAAAATAATATAATATAAAAAAGTCAATGGATCGGTGCAAAAATCAAAACAAAAAAAAAATATGTGCAACAGTTCGAATATACGATAAATGAAAATGTGATGGATTTCACAAATCGACGATGACGATGATGATTACTACCACCACCTCATAACCACAACGATTGAATTATCAACTATTAGATTCAGGTTCAGGTAAAACATTTATCTTTCTTTTTGCAATACTCCTCCTACATTCATTTCATGTTTTTTTTTAGCTAGCCGGTCGGTCGTTTGGTTGGTTTGATTGAAACAACAACAACAGCAACAATAATAATTTTCAAAAGATTGCTTTTACTTGATTTTCATAGTTCATTGTCGTCGTCGTCATCGTTTTCATGGTTCAGGTTTTTTTTCCTGATCACACATATTCACATTTGACAAAATAATGACGATGACGACGACGACGACAATAACGACAAAATGTTGCTAGGTAAGTTTCCTTCAGTTTGGTTGATTTATCCATTCATTCACCTACCTACCTACCTATGCTATACTATGATATACCACGCCAATCACCAAACCTGAATTTTCTGTTCTTGTTGTTGTTGTTGTTGTTTGTGCAGAAAACTTTCATTTCAATTCATTTTCAAACAAACAACGGTTGTGAATAGCAACAACAACAACAACAGCAGCAAATGATGTATTGGCGGTTTAGTTTTTTTTTCTTGGTTCAAGAATGGCTAAGTTTTTTTTTCTTTTTATTATTAAAAATAAAATCTATGTATTTGCCAAGCCTTATTTGAATGAATGAATAAAATGAAAATGAATGGTTGAATGGATAAAATCGAATCGAATAGAAGAAGTAAAAAAAAATGCAATGTTGATGTTAGGAATGCTTTTCAAAAACATGTTTGTTTTCTCATCAACTTTCTCCGAAAAAAATAGAAAATTTCTCTCTTTATTGATGATGATGAAAAAACGAAACTTTTTCTTTCGTATTAACCATCAATTGTAGATGAAAAGCCAACACCTAGAATCCACACACACACACACACACACACACACACATGACGAAGGTTTCATTCAGTTCTATTCGTCATCAATTTTTATTTTTGACATTGTGTTAATGTTTTTTTTTTCATTCTTTTCTTCTTTCTGATTGATGACATTTTTTTTTGTTTGCATCTTTCGTTCTTCATTGATGATGTCTGATTCCATTGACGCCATCTATCATCGGTTTTTTTGGATAAACCACCATTGACTTGTTGATGTAAATTTTTTTTCACAGAAATTTTTTTTTGATCATTATTTACCAATCATAATCAAACCAGAAATGGAAGTGGAAGACAATCGTTGATCAAATTGACCATGTTTCTTTTTCTAGTAGCTCTTTTAAAATTAAAAAATTGAAATTGAGTAGAAAAATTCATTTAGAAATCCATATAAATTGAATGGAAAAGTGAATAAATAAACACAATGTGGCAATTTATCAGGCTTTAGAAGTCATTCAGTTGGAAGAGAGAAAAACATAGAATAGAATATCTATATGCGTGTCTGTGCATAAGTTTTTCGGCACAGAATATAACAATGTAAGTGAATACAAGAGTGAAATTCTGTGATGATGATGATGATGATGTTGGTTCGGCTTCATTTAGTCACACAAAAGATAATGACAATAATAATAATGGTGAAATGATGGTGATGTTCATTCATTCAATGAGTGAGTGTGTGAGTGTCGTTTGAACTTGAATGAAATCACTAGAGAGATTTCACACACACACACAAACACAATGACCATATAGTTTTACACACATGCACATGTGGTTTGTGTTAGTCACATTAGATTTTTTTTTTCACTTTTCTCATTATAATTATTTTTTTTTCTTTGGTTACCTTACTTTTTTAATATGTTTTTTTTTCTTGTGTCTATGTATCAAGGGAATTTTTTCCATCTTTTTTTTCCTCTTTCTTATTATGCACATAAAAGTAGAATTTTAATTTTTTTTTTTCGTTGGTTGTTGAGTAATTTATTCGGTATTTTTTTTTGTCCTGTCGTTTTTTCTTTGCTGAAGAAAAAAAAAAAGATTCGATGATGGGTAGAAAGAAATTGATGGATTCATTTAAATTGATTGAACCGGAACACAAAAAAAACTGCAGAAATTTTTTCCCGATAATGTTCTCATGAAACACTCACACATTCATATGCACAGAGAAGACATTCATATCAGATGTTCATGAGTGTAACGGATATCACATCAAATTTTTTTTTTTTTTTTTTTTTGGAAACGAAAATGATAGCTAACTCATTACCATTATCAACATTTATATTGGGAATTTTAAAGTTTTTTTTACATTGTGAAAAATAATAATTTTGAAGCATTTGTCAAGCAAATTCAAGTGTGTGTGTGTGTGTGTTTCATTATCTATTTTTTCAATGGAAACCAAAAAAAAAACACTTTGTAACAGGAATGTATGGAACTATTTTTCGTTGAAAAGACAAGAAAAATTCATTTAAAAAAAATGTCTGTTTCCGCATCATATTGTACGGGAAATTATGGGTGAAATGAGTGGGAAAAAAAATTTTTTTTTTTCAATTCTACAACTTATGGACCGAATGAAATCGAGTGCCAAACAAAATGAAAATAAAACAACGTTAAACTAAACAAATGCATTAATCATTAGAGAATCAAAAATTCATTTTGTCCATGATGATCATGGAACCACCACCCAGAAAAAAAACAAAATTAATTAATTCATTCGATTTTTTTTTTTTTGCTTTTTATGATCGAAAAATGACTTGTCATTCTGGTTTGTTTGTATTCTGACTGATTAAATAGTTTTTCAGATTCTTGATTTATTGACACACACACACATATACACAAAACATGTCCTTTTTGTATAATCAGAATTTTATTAAACATGAATTTGATTCGAGGAATAAAATTCATAGAATGAATATTCAATAGTTTAATTCTTTCGGTATATATAGTGGTGGAACGACGACGACGACGACGACGACGACAACCGCAACGACAAACTTTTCACTCATCAAGCTTTTTTTCCCCGGACACTGTGTAATTAATGTCACTCTATTCATGATGGATCATGATGGTTTTTTTTCGTTATTTGTTTGTTTCAAGAAATTTCCCAGAAAAAAAAAGAAAAAGTTCAAATTTCAAATGATGATGTATGAAGTAACAGTGAAAAAAAAACCTGTAAATTATTCCAATTTGGAATTGTACAAAATTCAAGCAAAAAACAACGAAAAATTCAAGATTCTTACCATTTTCAGTGAGAAAAAAAATAACGACCAAAGAATTGAATTGTTGAAAAAAAAATTCTCGCTCAATTTACATAACGCACTGTGTGTGTGTGTGTGCGTATGAGTGAAAGTAAGTGTGTGAGTCGAATTCTGATGATAATGAGGATGATCACATTTATGATGAATTAATTAATGACAGTCAAAACCAGTAATTCAAGTCCAATTATTCACACACACACACACACACACACAAAGTGGCATTTTATCACTATTTATGCAAAACAAACCATAGCATCGTCATTGTCATTTTTGCAGGAAAAAAACACTATTTGAAACATTGAAAAATAATTTTTCGAGAAAAAAAAATTTGAATTTCAAATTTGTATCTTTTCTCCCTTTTGGCCATAGATTTCGTTCAAATAAACAGACTAGAATAGATGAATGGATTTTGGTCAGATGTGAAAAAAAATTGGCAAAATAAATTTGCAATCTGGAATTCATCTGAACAAAAATTGACAACAACAACAACAACAACAAAACGGCAACAAAAAAACGACAAAATCAAATCATCAACAAAACCCAAATGTATGTAATAGAATTTGGATTCAATGAATGGAATGAATTTTCGATTCATCAGACCAAATTTTGTTTTTCTCTCTGCCAAGTGGATTGGATCATGTGCGTTGTGTTGGTGGTGGTTGTGTCATGCGTAGAATCATAACATTTTTTTTTGTATGACTAGAAATTCAAGTCCCATATAATGATGATGATAATTCTCTTCATTCATTGAATTTACATCAATCATAATAACTAATAATAATAATGAGAGAGAGAGAGAGAGAGAGTGCAGAATTTATAGAATTTTTTTTTTTTTCGTTTCTGCGAGATATAGAGCAGCATAAGTTATATATATGTACATTTTTGTTGTCGTTATTGTTGTTGGCTTTTTTAGCCTTCTAGGTTTGAATTCTTTTTTTTTTTTTGAATCGAATCGAAATATACATTTTTTTTCTTAAGTAATAAAGATGCAACATTCATTCAAACATTGTTTGACATCTGTGAATTATTGGACCATTTTCAATCAATCGTATCATTCATCATCAATTTTTGTTGTTGTTGTTGTTGTTGTTGTTTCACTCCATTGCCATCATTCAACCAAAATGGCTTTATTTTCCAATGAAAATAAGCAACAAGAAGAATATATAAGTGATTTTTTTTGTTTATTCTGTTTTTTTTTCAAACTGGCTGGTTGGCTTCAAAATTCTTTATTTATTTATTTCCATTTGATGGTAGAATGTATTCTTATTCTCGTTTTGCTAGAATTCTGTTTCCGTTTTTGTTGTTGTTATTGTTGAATGTTTTGATCATCTTTTTTGCTTCTTTTAAGAAAATAAACACACAGATACAGACACACACACAGAGAGAGAGACAATGAATTTGATTCGTATAAATATAAATCAACTTAGCCATTGTTCAGAGAAAAAAAAACTGTTCAATTCGATCAATTCGATTTTTTTTTGAAAAAAAATTTTGAAAAGAAAAGAAAAACAAATGTCAAATGTAAATAGATTTTTTCTGTTTGTTTATTTGTACGCCAAGTTGATCATTTTGATGGTTTTTTTCTGTTCTGTACAATTCTGGCTTTTGAAATTTTTTTTCCGTTTTTTTTCAACTGTATCGATTCTGTTGATGATGATGATGATGATGATGATGATGGATAGATTTTTTATTCTTCATATCGAACATTTAAACTTTTTCTTTTCCTGTGAAAATAAAAAAAAAAAA